AAATCCTACCTATTGTTCCAAGACGATAGTTGATGGTAACAAGGATAATGTCCTTGTCCAGAAGATACTGAGGTCCATAGAAATCTGTGTTCCCCGAGCCATTAAACCAACCTCCGCCATGAATCCAGAACATTACATCGAGCGGTACCACACCCAGAGTGCTGTCCGGCATCTAACGAAACAAAACCATCTTTACCATTCCTTCTTGTATTGAAAGTTTGGTAATAATACAAAAGTACCGCCCAACTTGAAACAATAAACCACATTTCCTTACAATGAAACAGGTCACGTGATGGATCACATGTTGTGATTCCCCTGCGGGCTACTTGATACTACCTCGCATCCCATTTATGACTGTGAGTGCGATGTATCTGCAGATTGAGTATTGGCATTTGAGAAAAAAGTCAGAAAAAGACTCAAAATAGTATTATCGTATCTGATAATAGAACTACAGGAATTATCCTGGGATTGACCCAGACTTCCTTAGTGTAAAAACCTCTGTAAGGTTCAATATTCGTATGTCACGTGTACTTTTTCTGGTTTTATATTATGAACAGATAATGGAGGCTGAATTTCTATTTGCCTTACATCATCTGTGGCCAGTCCTCGGAATCTGAGAGGGGGACGACATAACTCTTAATAATTTCTCCTATATATTTTGTTGCATTGTCGTGTTCTGTGGAATCGGAACCACAGATTTAATAAATGTTTGTTTTCTTCCGATTCCAAAGCAATGTTAATGTTCTGTATAATTTTAAAGAAATTTTGTAGAACTGTTATACGTTTTGTTTACGTGTCTAATCAGTGTAGAATATCGTGTTAATGTCGCTGTAGTATTGGGCCTACCCGTGGCGTGTACACGTTGAGATAAAGACAGTCTTCTTGTCCTCTGATCTCATTGTCTCCAGGGTATATCCCTCGCTGCACGCATACCGGAGCTTCTTTGGTGGCATCAAGCACTCCGCTCCATGGCTCCTTGGCTTGAGGTGGCTGTCGACAGAAATCATAGTTTTGGTTGTACGTTTGAATATAAATGGAGTAGGGTTCTGCTCAAGAAATTTATTATAACAGAACCTAGAGGTTCATTTCTGTGTCTGAAATAGCTTGCCACTGGACACATATCCACGGCTAGCTGAATAAACTACATAACTTAGCAACCGTTTCCTTTAAGATCTATTTTAATATTATAGTCCCACTTAGGCCTACGTGTTCGAAACGATCCCTTAGTTTCAGGAATTTTGACTGATATTCTGTACACATTTCTGAGCGTCTCATTCTCCTTTTGATCGCGCGATTAATATTTTGGGGACAACACAAATTACGAAGTTCTTCAGTGTTCAATTCGTCAACATTCTTCTATCATCCCCTCCCTCCAAATTGTAAATTTCTCCTCAGAACTTTGATGTCAAACACTATCAATCTGTGTGCTCCTTTCACGGCTAGATACCAAGTTTCCTACCCACACAAAACAAAAAAAGTTCATTGCAGTTGTTGCCTACACAATCTGAATCCCTATTTTAATTCTCGTACAACGACTGAATGAGTAATTTGTAGCTAGATATTCTATTATACGTCCAACTCAATTCCGTATTTGAAATACATAATATGATATTTCAATATCTTGGGTTATATGTTTCCGCACTTCTCATGCCATCATCAGATCCTTGTTTTTACACGACATATGCTAGAAAATATGCTTACTGTGAAGTATATCCACATTTCCATGGACTGTCATATTAAAATTTAAAAATTATATAAAACAATTACGTCAAAAATCATACACAATTTAAAATATTTTAAATATTCAATATTATAAAAGAGAATAAAACAACTATATCAAAACTGAAGGTTATATACTTTTAAAAATATTGAATACTGACCGTGGGTAAATAAACAAAATAATCATAAATTTACTTAAATGATATTTATTCGTGAACAAACAGTGCAATACAATAAAGTTTCATCAGAAATTTATGCAAAAAGGAATATATTAACGGGAAGTTACAGTTTAAAATAACAAAAAATATTAACGGAACATTAACATATACGTTCTTGGCAGATGATTCAGAAGTGGTTTGCCATTGCCTTCTTCTGTGTGTGAATGGGATGCCACGGAGAAACCGGGGAAGCCCCCGGAGGAAAACTCCGTGTTGCCTAGACCACGGCCTTGCCCAACACAAGTTATAAATTCGGGCACCGCCGGGAATCGAACCCGAGACCCCCCAGGATTACAAGGCCAGCGTTCTAACCGCTGCATTTATTTTACGCGTATAATTGAATCCGCGTTGGACAAACCCGAAATGGAGAAGGGTTTACTCTATTTTAAAATAAAGAATTATGTTTGACAGATAATAGAATACATAGTCATGCTAAAACAATTGTATATCAAAACAATAAAACTAATTTTAGCCTTTTTAAAAACACCGTTTTAACTGCAGAGGTTATATAGCATTCAAAGAGATGGGAAGGCCGTGTATAACAGATGAACGAGAGTTTAAAGGACGGAAGTTGTCACAGTAACCATTTTCCTATAGGGTTGGAGGTAAATGTCACTATTTGCACTTATTCGGCTAGAATTTTTGTAATGCTGATTTCTTAAAAGTAGGCCCACAGCGGATATCAGATAGTGTCGCAATACAAACACTTACTATTCTATATAAATAAATAACCAGTTCAGATTACTTTCGAAGACAAGGTTTAGGGAAATATAATTTTTACTTCGATTAAGTTAATTTCTGTATTTTTTTATAGCCAGTGAAACTGTTATTCCAGAGTTCTGTGCGGGACAGTCGACACTGATGTAACATCATCGTTATTATAAGCTTTGTTAAACAGATGATGATATTTGTGGAAGAGAATGACTAAGCAACTTAATCTCGTAATTGATCTTTGGAATAGACTAGGAACGCAGAACGTATCTTATAGTAGCAAGATCATTGGTCTTCATTAAAATGATTTGGCGAGGCAATATTATTTTTGATGAGTTTAGAAGCAGAATATATACTATAATGCACATGAGGCCTGTTTCGTCTGTTATCTCCGGCATTGGCCTCTATCTCACGCTGCGATGTTACAATACACAGAACACTCTTATCAACGAATGTTATTCAACACTATTCGTTCAGGGTTAACCCCATTTGTAACTGAAATTATTAGTGACCATTAATGTGGACTTCAAGAATTCAATCAACAGCTCATCAGATGTCCTACATTCTCAAGATAGTGCTAAAGTAAAAGGGAGTACAGTGGGATAATTCATCAGCTGTTAAATGAAATCTGGTTAAGAGAAGTTATTATTATTTATTATTTAGTGTTCTGTCTGACGACAGGTCCATATGAACAGGATCCTTCCATCCTTTTCTCGGACTGGGACCTGTTCATATACGTTCTTGGCAGATGATCCAGAAGTGGTTTGACATTGC